ATACCGCTTGTATTTTTTCAGGGTTGGCCTCTATCCCCCTTTGGTCAATCAAGAATCCGAGAAACTTCCCAGACTCAACACCAAAGACACACTTTTTGGATTTAGCATGACCTTGTGCCGCCTGAGTGTGGCGAATGTTTCTCGGAGGTCAGACAGGTGATCCGCCTGCTGTTTGGATTTGACTATCATATCATCAATGTATGCCTCTACATTCCTCCCAATTTGATTAATGAAGACTGTATTAATCATTCGTCGGAAAGTAGCAGGCGCATTCTTCAAACCAAACGGCACCACATTGTAACAGAATAACCCTTGATCAGTGACGAATGTTGTCTTTTCTTGATCCTTTTTCCACAGGGAATCTAATGAAAGCCTGAATAGGCGTCCATAAAACTCATCAGGGCATGTCCAGCTGTAGATTCGACCAGACTTTCGATCTTTGGAAGTGGATAACTATCCTTCGGACATGCTCTGTTCAAGTCAGTGTAATCTACACACATGCGCCAGGTGCCATTCGGCTTCTTTACAAGCACAACATTTGCAACCCATTCAGGAAGCTACATGGCCTAATGAACCCAGTGTCTAACAACTTTTTAACTTCGGTGGTTGCTGCCTGACTTCTTTCCTCGCCATGGTTTCTTTTCTTTTGCTGAATGGGCTTCTTTTTGGGATCCACAACGAGGTTGTGGATAGCAAGATCTGGGCTGATGCCTGACATCTCTTCCACTTCAAAGACAAAAATTTCTTTGAATTCTTTCAAGAGTTGATGCAGACTTGTGCCCAACTTAGCAAAAGCAGTCGTCCCCACCTTAACAATTCGCTATGGACCAGAGGAATATTAGTGTGCTCACCAACCGGCTGGGGACGGAGGTCATATGACCGTTCCCCGGTCAGTGATTGCTATTGCTTTTCTTTTTTGACCACCACCAGCGGATTAGGCTTTCGTTTCTTAACGGCTGATGGGGCCGGATGGTCATCCTTGACCTCATCAAGATCAATTGGCTCTTTACCCAGTACAGTTGCAGCTGCCGCAGGCTTGACGTATGAGAGATAGCATTCTCGAGCCGTCTTCTGGTCCCTGTTAAGGGAGCCAACAGTTCCATCATCCCTCTTATACTTGACAAGCATGAGAGCTGGAATGATGATTGCCTTGCACTCGTTAAGAGTGGGTCGGCCAAGGATGAGGTTGTAGGCGGTCAGCTCCTCAACCACCAGGAACTGGATGGTCATGTGCCAACCGCTACCTTTTTCTCCCAGTCGGATGGGCAAATCAATGCGTTCGACTGGATGCACAACTCCTCCCCCAAAACCCACAAGGGGATGGGAGACATCCGTCATACTATCCGGCATGTATTTTAGGTTGGATAGACATTTGTAGCTAATGATGTCTGAGGAGCTTCCTGTGTCAATTAAGATGCGACCAACTTATTGGTTGGCCACTTTGCATTCTATGACCACAGGGTCATCATGCGGCCGACGGACTTTGCCTCTATCCTTTTCGGTGATGATGACTTTAGGGAGGCGGATGTACTAGCCGCATGTCCCTCATCATTAGAATGGACCATCTTTCTTAGATGATCCTTGTTTCCCTGGATGGTTGGACCACCACCGGCGAATCCGCCTGCTATCGTATAGATCGGTTCTTCATCCGTTTCAGAGCTGATAGCAGAATGAGGAGTCTTTTTGCTCGATTTCCCAAGATTTGATTTGGAAGCCACTTTGGACTTCACACAGGATTTCAGCACTCCTTTGTCGGCCAGACGGTCAAGCTCCCGCTTGAGGCTGAAGCAGTCGTTCATGTCATGGCCGACATCCTCATGGTAGTGACAGTGTTTGTTCTTGTTCCATTTTTCAGCGGAACCTTTCATAGGAGTCGGGTTCTCAAGAGTCAACCGATCCTTAATCTCCATGAGGATGGAGTAGCTGTCCTTCTGAAACTCGTACCTTGGAATGTACGGCTTTCACTCTTTCTTTTTCTTCTAGGCTGGCTGATCGGAGTTATCAACCACCCAGATTTGTTTTTTCTTTTTGCTCTCTACTGGTTTTAGAGACGACTGAGCAGGTCGACTCTCCTTCTGTCGGTCAGACTTTTTAGAGTTCGACTACTTATTAGAGGAGCAGACCTCGGTCGCCTGTATATAAGCGTCCGCCTTCATCAAAGCTCCTTGGAGGGTGAAGATTTTCTTATGGACGAGTTCGAACTTTCGACCCGTCCTTCAGACCTTTGAAAAAGTCTGTGAAAGCCACTTCGTCAGACAATCCTTGTATCAGGATTCTCACCAGATTGAACTGCCTGACGTATGATCGCAACCCTTCTCTATCTCCCTACTGTACATGGCCTAAATGAAGGCTCGTTTTCTTAGAAGGGATGTTCATAGAGAAGTTAGAAGCAATTAAGCACGCAAACGTCTTTAAGCTATTTATGCAACCAGCCGGCAGATTGCCAAACCACTGCTGGGCTATGCCCTTCAGGGTGGCTGGGAAGCATCGACACCAGGCGGCATTGTCCAACCCCTGTAAGTACATGAGGTGGGTGTATGCCAAGAGGTGGTCTTCAGGGTTGGAAGTACCATCATAGGTTCCAACCATGACATTTTTAACCTTGGCCGGCTGTTCGGCTTTATCTATTTCCCTAGAGAACGCAGAGGGCTGCTCCCCAAGGTTTTGTAGCCGAAGCTTCCAGTCCAAGGGCTGATAGTTATATGCCGCTTGTCCTCCGAAGAAGGCAGGCTGGATGTAAGGTAAAGCAGGCGGTCTGTATGGTGGTTGTGCCACATACTGCGCCAAATTGATTAGGTGAGGCCCCGACTGCTTGAGGGGGCCGCTTAAGGGAGTCCTTGGCCCGGAAGAGGAATTCCTCACCGAGGTGTTCTGAAAACTATAATGATAAGTCGACGTTGAAGCCGACTCCGACAGCTGCTGATTCCTTAGCTGTCGATATATTGACGAGCATCAGGAAATGTCTATTTGCTACCGTATGACTGAACATGCCGGATGGCTTTCCTTTTCACCGTTTCAGGGAAACGGAGTCTTGATAGGTCGAACAGAGGTCGATCCTTCTCCGGGCGAGGAGTCGGTTGTCGGTCTCGGACCGAATTCTGCTGCCCAGACTTCGCAGGCCTTGTGGCCGACTGCTCCTTTCTATGGGCAGCCGTTCGCTTGTTGATTAGTCCTTTGATTTCACCCCTGAGGCTACTCATGAATTTTATGAGCTCGTCACGGGTGACTAGGGCTGATCCTGCCGCCTGGGAGGCATCAGTCGCATGCCCTGTGGGCTTACTTGAGGCTCCAGGGGGCCAATTAGTACCCGCCTGGTTAGCATTGCGCTCCCACCTGTCTTTCTGACGAAGGTGCTTAGAGATGAGTGACCCATTAGGGGTCACATAGGTTTGGACATCAGCGTCGTCAACTGAGTCATGGTCCGTCTGGACATGTATTTCTTTCAGAGGCCGGTTGGTCTCTAGAGGCGGCACAGGATTATCATGAGAAGCCATCTTAGAGGTACTCTCCCCACAGACGGCGCCAAATGTTTCGGGGTTTTTCGTGTCCCTCGGGAGAGTTACAGCTCAAGACTGGATTCACAAGGTCACCTTTGCCTGCAAAACAAACGGACCGCCGGATGGTCGGTGGTCCGCCTCCGAAGATTAAGTTAGTAAAGTGTTCGGAATAAAATGTGCGGAAATTAAGTTATCTGCTCGGATTCCAAGCTCAGGTGCCGTCTGTTTCTTGAGAACGACATCTCAGTAATAATTGCAATAATTAACATAACGTGTCCCCATAAATGAGGGGAATGTCCCTATTTATAGGGTCCTTGGGAAGTGTGCCCTCCCTACGGTTTGATGACCTAGGGATTAGGGCACGCCGTTTTGCGGCGCCCTCAAAGTTTGGGCCTTGAAGGCCGCCTTTTGAGAAGGGATATCTAAGTGACACGTGTCACACATCTGGAGAGGCCATTTGGGCGCCTCCCAAGGCAACATGTGTTGCTCTCTCATTGGTCCACTGGGGTTATTAAATATCCCAAATCAGGAGCTATATCTGCTTGACACGTGTCACCATCTGGAAGGTCCAAGTTGCGCCCCTTCCAGTGACACATTTCAAACTCTGATTGGGCAACTTGGCCGGGTATAAAATACCAAAAACAGTTTGCATGTGTGTAATTCGATTAGACCTTGAGAATTATGCTAGATTGCATTGTAATTGTTATGACACGACCAATTGATTTAGGAATTGCAATTATTGATTGGTTTGGATTGTGATTCTCTTATTTTGTTATTTATAGTGAACCCTAGCTTAACGATTAGGAGATAGCTCTTTAATTCCAATTGATAGCTCTTATTATTAGTCTTCACAACCTTTGATTGGCATGATCCTCCCAAGTTGTTGCAATTGTCATGATCACTTATTGATCCTCATTCCTAATGTTTTATTTGTTTGTTAATTGTTAGTGTTCCTTCTTCACCTTCGAGTTCGACCTAGTTTAGGCGCATAATTGAGAGTGTTTGAACAATACTGTTCCTTTGGGTTCGACCTACTTACCTCTATACTCGTATTTAGGTTTGTTAAGTGTTTATAAATTTGTTTGGCTCTAAGGAAGATTAGATAACGACCTACATTTTCCCTACGTCAAAATAAAAGTCGTTCATTTCGGAATGATGTGACTTAGAGTAACGATCATACTTCCTCCGTTTCTATTTAGTTGACGCGTTTGATTTAGGCACATATATTAAGGAGAGGAGAGAGAGTGAGAGAGAATGAAAAAACAAGCGGGGTAGTTCGTAAATGCAAGGTAAAAAAGTTACCCCAAAAGGAAATGTGTCTGCTAAAAAAAATTCCTAAATAGGAATACGTGTCAACTAAAAAGAAACGGATGTAGTATTATTTTAATACTCATATTATTATGATTGACCATTATATAGTATAGTATATAGAACCAAAAAGCAAATTCCTCAAATCAAAGAGAGGTTTAATTGGACAAAAAATTGTTCATAGGCTATAAAAAGTGCTGCTAAAATTAACATTCTTATAAATAATTTGTTCAAAAGGCAGTTTACATCGCAGCAAAATAATGGGCTGATGGAACTTCTCAAATCTTAAAAGCTGACGCTTTAATCACAAATTTAACCAAAGCTTGAAGCTTGAATACAAACAGGTTCTGATATTCATATAGAAATTACAAATGGAATGTTAATACCTCTCCTACAAAGAAGGCTCCATTCACACCCCGCTGAAACTAATGAAAATGTCAGAAAACTGCTCAACTAATTTATAATGAATGCGTATCCATACTCAAACCTCACAAATCAAGAAGATCTAGCCAGCAATTTTGTAAGTTGGATTGACAAGATTATCACCGCCAGAGACCACTTGGACTGATTCTATGACATCGCCAACCTTGAGATCTGCTAAATAATCTTCGTTTTCAGTTACATAGCCAAATACTGCATATCGACCATCTAAAATATTGGCATTACTTGGGGTCAGTTCACTTTCTTTTAACAACCAAAATACTTGACTTGAAGCTGAATTGTTCTCAAATTCCTGCAACAATTAGGAGCTGAATATGTCACAACAAAACTATATACTGACCATATAATATGTCAGTACTACATGTCTACATACATATGTTTATGGTTATGTATAAAAATCAGTATTTGTGGTTGCAAGTTCTTACCTCTCTAGCCATGGCCATTGTACCAAAGGCATTGAACGGAAGCTTTGTCTGAGCTTTGTATAAACCAAGTTCCTGAAACCATATTGTACAGATTGTAAGATCTGAAATCATTCAATATTTTACAAAAAGCAATATATACTGTCTAAATATAAGGGTAATAGAGGATCAAAATTACTTCAAAACAAAATTTCACCCATTAAACAATGTATGCAAAACAGAACACCCAATAACAGAATAATATTAATTGATAATGCGATAAACAGTATTTCAAAACAAAATTTCACCCATTAAACAATGTATGCAAAACAGAACACCCAATAACAGAATAATATTAATTGATAATGCGATAAACAGTACGCCACATTTCACAAAAATAAATAAATGAAAATCATAGGAAAAGTTTTATTTTTTGGTGTTTATAGAGCCACAAGGGCGGGGGTGAGATTTGATCCCAAAATTTCCTAGAATCGGGAGGGAAGCTCTAACCACTTGAGCTACCCCTCATTCTCTCAAATCATAGGAAAAGTTACATATGCATTTATATTGGTCTCTTATAAAGCATAATTGTGCAGTAATGAACTATGGTGATGCACATTTGCAAAACATATTATGAGAGGAGCTTACTTCTAGAGTTGCACCGTAAAACGGAACTTTTTCTCCTTCCACCATGATTTCCAATGGGACTGCGCGAGGCTTTTCTGTGCTTGGGTCAATGAAACCCTCAGCTGGACCTTCAGGGTCTCCTGTTTGGACAACAAAGCCATCGGCTGCAATAGAAATGAAAGGCCATCATATCATTAAGACACACACAGACAGTTTCTAAGCATTTCAATAACCACGAGTCCACGAAAGCGTTGTAATTTCAGAATTTCTTGACATTTAGATAAAAGTATTTAGAAATTCAATGACCACTACAACCTTGTAATATCAGAACCTTTTTAGCTTTTTCAATGACCATGGGAGGAAACATTTTACACCCCAGTAAGGCAGTAAATATGTTTATGACATCAAAGAACCAAAAGAAATATTAGACGTCTTCTGCACTAGGCATCAAGTATTCTAGTTTCATAATTCATATTATAACTATCACCAAGCAAACAAACATATATAAACTGTCACTATAGTTCCCATTAATTGTGGTAATAGTTACCAAATTACATAGTATCAAATTTGTTACCTCTTTGGATCTCCATGCCATCATAAAAGTGCCTTTCCACCAAATCCAGAAAATTGCCAGAAGTTACCGGGGCATTGTAACCATCAAGAACAATGCGAAAAACACAATCCTCAAGATTTGGATTGTCCTTCACCTTGACCTTCATCTGAACAACTGCTCTTCCCTTCAGGAGTGGCATAGATCGGTATTCTTCTGGCACTTCATATGGGAAGCCATCCACCATGTCCTCTTCAACACTGCAGAAACCCAATGCCCCAGGAAGATCTCAGCTGCAGTCAATAAGGATACCTATGAGATAAAGCTTATTTTAAGAGGTTTGGGCTTTACAAGTCCTTTCTAATTCATCACAGTAGTGTTCTACTACCCCTCAACCCACCCGAGTACCATACTTCCCCTTCATAACATCATAAGCACCCATTTTTTCCCTGCCCTTTATAAAAGAGGAAAAGTGGACTCTTTGGATTTCTGTATTGGGAAGTCTCACAATCTCAGACAGATTTTTCAGCTAATTAAAAAAAAAAAAAAAAAAAAAAAAAAAAAAAAAAAAAAACACCAAACCTTATTTGACACAGAGGAAAAGCAAAGAAACAGATTATTTTAAGAATGGGGCTCTTAAGATTTTTATGTTACAAAGTCATAAATCAGGTGAGTAAAGTGATTAGACAACAGAGCATTTAAGAAAAATTAGGGGAGTTCTAAAAGAGAATCAAGAATAAAATTCAAACTCTTTTCAATGATGATTTTGTTATGTCCTTTTCTTTATGTCGTACGATTCCTTATGATGATTCATGTTGGCCGACCCCAAATCATTTTGGGACTAGGGCTTTGTTGTTCTTGTAAAGTCATAAATCACAATCTCAAACTAATTTGTCAACTAATTATAAAACAGCAAGCAACCCTTACATATCATAATCAATTAACATCACAAAGTAACTTCCCATTCCCAATAACAGTCTACAAGACACTAACCTGCCAACATACTGAAGCAACTCCTTTTGTTTAGGAGCAACCCCATCCCTATACCTGTTTTCGACAATCTGTTGGAGCTCACCCATTCCTATCTCTAGCCTGTCGAGCAGCTCCATACCGCGATCCTTCTTTGATTCAGCCAGCCCTGAAATAATTAAACTCTTGCCATTCTTCAGTGCACGAGACGCCTGCTTTAAGTTCTACAATCACATAACAGCTTATAATCAATCATCAGCATTATTAACACTGAATAAGAAGACAGTTCATGTTAATAAAAGAATAAGGCCCTTGATTCTTACTCTCTCAACAGAATCGAGAGCTTTAAGGCCCGCGACCTTAAGGCTATCCGTAATGTCTTCCAACGGTTTCTGAACTTCCCTTATGGCCTTATTATCAATCGGTAATGCATATCTCAAAAGTGCTTCAGGATCCTTGATTGGTGGACCAGATATTAACACTGCTAAATCTGGCAATACTGGAGTAGTAATTGCTTGGGCACGGCTTTGCCAATTTAAATCAGGTGCTCCAGTTATCAACCCAATTGCTAATGCTATCGAAATCGCACATTGCTTCATCGAAAATGAACTCTTTTTCTGCTATCATACACCATAAAAATTTACATATACAACAAACCCATCAATTATGACAACAAAATATTAAATATTAGGCTTTATTAATGTTCTAGGTTGCACAGAAACGGACAAAAACATGGACGTGTACGGGGGTGGGAAACGGCAAAATCAAAATTCTAAAAAAGGTACAGCAAAAAAAATTCAACAAAATAAAAATTCATACATTTGACAATACATATCACCCTATTAATATTGGTCGATATTGATCAATCTCACACATGAACAGTAAACCCGCCAACTCGAATACAATATCACAAATAATTATGAAAATTATACAATTACTACCCAAAAAATTATAATACCAAGCAATATCAGAATTAATTAGTGAAGTTAAACTTACTTGTTTATCATGGGAGTCAATATGACGAGGAACTTCAGAATAGCAACGACTGCTCAAACGACTGAAGCGAGCTTTATCACGATAATTGGGGATACCCAAATAAATAGGGGCAATTGGGTTAGTAGGAAATGCAAGTTTTGAGGTGCAAAGAGAAGGATAAAAATGGTGACAAATGAAAGAAGACATTGATTTAATAATTTGAAGCTTATGTTAGTTAGATTACTAAAACATTAAGCTTGAATGTAACAGAGCGAGTAAAGAGAGAGAGAAAAATAAAGGAATGTAGAAGGGTTGGTTTGACAAACGTGATAATCTAATTCGTGGGAGGGAGTGACAAGGAGAAGATGATGTTGTGGATAATCCTCGAAATTTGGATAAGGTTCTTGTTTTTGTTCTCCCAAGATTTCCTAGTGCTTTTTTTTTTTTTTTTTTTAAATACTTGCTCTATTTTTCATTAGTGTGTGGGTGGAAAAATAAAAAATTATACTAACTCTCATATATTATTTTAAACGTTCCAAAAATATCTACTTAGATTAAATGTATTTCACTCTTAACTTAGGGTCTGTTCTCATTGACTGAACTGAATTGAACTGAACTGAACTGATTTGAGCTAAACTGAAACAGAACTGAACTGATTTGAGCTAAACTGAAACAGAACTGAATTGAGCTGAACTGAACTGAATTGAAATGAAATGAATATTTTATAAGAGAAGAAAATTAGGGAGCTGAGCTGAACTGAACTGAACTGAACTGAACTGAGCTGAACTAAACTGAACTAAAGTGAATTTCAATGTAAGAGAACAGGCCCTTATTCTTTATTTCCATTTTATTCATATTAAATTCTGATTAGTTTAATTAATTGATTGTAAATTGATGACATGACTCTAAGTATTGAAAATTATTCCCTTGAATTATGCAATTATGTTTGACGGTTTTCTAAAAAAACCGAAATAATTTAAATAAGACGAAACTATTTGTGAATTGTCTTCTACTTTAATGTTATATTTCAAATATTCTTGTTTTCTTAATTTATGTGATTGATTCCATTTAGAACTATCATATGAAACGAAGAGAGTATAATGCAAATGTGGTGGAGGGAATAGGATGGGAAAGAATATAAAATTAATTAAATATTATAAAAGCTTTCCAAATAAAAAAAAATGGAGCAAGTATTTAAAAACGGTTAGAAATGAAAAATGCCGCAAGTATTTAAAAATGTGAGTAGTAATCACCGTTAGGGGAGTTCAAAAATACCCAATCCGAATGATCCAGCTGAATTTAGTCGGGATTTTGTTTGATTAATTAATGTTATTAGCAATTATATGGTATATATGTTGTTTGCATAAAGTACTAACAACTATGGAGTATAACATTTTTATTTTTTTTAAAGGTAAGAAAAAAACATGGAGTATATAACATATTTAAATGTATGAGTTTATTTGCTACTCCCTTCGTTTTTAAATACTTGCTCCATTTCTTCATGTGCGGAGTTTTAGGAGAAATTGGAAAATATAATAAAATATGGAGGTAGTAGGGTAGTTGAGAAAATAAAAAAATGTAAAAAAACAAAAGTAGTGAAAAAATAGGAGGAGAGAGAGTATTATATTGGGTCTACTTAGTGTGAGAAATGAATTGAATATTGTAAAAGCTTTCCATAAAAGGAAATGGAGCAAATATTTAAAAGTGGCCGGAAAAGAAAAGTGGAGCAAGTATTTAAAAACGGAGGGAGTATTTTTTATTGTATTGTATTTCCAATTTTTATTGTATTTGTATTGTATTCCATACAATGTACCAGTAGATAATTATTGTATTGGACACTGATACAATTTTAATGTGCAAGTTATAGTACTCCCTCCATCCCCGAAAGAATGACCCATTTGAGTTGATTACGCGGGTATTAAGAAAGTTAAATAAAAAGAAGTAAAAGTACATTGAAAAGATAAATTTACATGGGGTTTGTACAAAAAACTAGAGAGAGAAAGTAATAAAATTACATGGAAAATCAAATTTTATATGGGAAAACTAATTTTGCACAAATATTATTGCAAATTGGTGGGTGTTTTAATGTAAATGGGTCATTTTTTTGGGACTAAAATTAGGCCAAATGAGTCATTATTTCGAGACGGAGGTAGTAGGTAGTTTATAATTTTTCTAGCTACACATTAATTTTGATATATGTGTGCCATATTCACCTGGAAACTAAATGTAAAAGAATTTCTATAGTTGACCTTAGATTACCCTATGAATTTCTGTATTTCTACTTAGATTACCCTATTGAATTTGTATATTACACCACTTCTAAAATCATTTGAAAATTAGCAATATAACGTGAATAAAGAAATTTGGATCACGCCAAGGAACTAGGTAAAAAGGATAGATAGATTACACTGGTTTAACTTTAAATTTATTCGAAAACTCAATAGGGAAAACAAAGATTAGAAGTCTACATTAGCCTTATTACAACTGAAAACTTTGGTTGTGACTTACCTCATTTCCATTTGGGTTAGACTCTTATTGTCAAAGAGATCTCACCCAAATACTTAAACAATCTTCCAATTTTTTTTATTTTTTTTTTTTGGAAAGAAGTCCTAAAGGACATTAAATTTCATTAACTAAAGTCATACGACATCTATAATTACAATTAACAATAATGAAAACAAATTTAACAAAACCAAACAAGAATTAATCGGGAAAGAGCTAAGAATCCAAATACATAAATATAACAATTTGACACATTCTCGATTCGTTGTCTTATACAACTTTTTGAGTGGGTCCGTCGTCGCTTCGCAATTTTGTGAGAAATTAAAGTTAATTCTTGTGCTGATTCCGTAGCCCGAATTCGAGCCATAATCAATCGTAGCCCCACACAACCGGAGATCAAATTAAACACAAATAAAACCTTGTCTTTCGAAGGAGTCCGAAAACCCTTGTCTTTCGAAGGAGTCCGAAAACCCTTGTCTTTCAAAGGAGATCGAAAAAACCTTGTCTTTCGAAGGAGATAGATCATTTCTTTCGAGGGAGACATTATTATTGAAACCTAAGAAACAAAAAGTTTAAAAGAAAATAAAGATTGGGGCTTTCCACCGATGAAATCCGATGGAAGCCCCTTCAAAATTGACAATAGAGGCTAGAGTTTAGAAGAGAGAAGAAAGAAAGGAGGCTAGGGTTTTTTTTCAATCTTCCACTTCTACATTGTTACCATGTATTCAGTGTGTGTGTGTGTGTGTATATATATATATATATATATATATATATATATATATATATATATATATATATATATATATATATATATATATATATATATATATATATATATATATTTATATATATATATATATAGGGGGGGAGGATCTCGTGAGAATTTTTCTTATGTGAGAACACTCTTTATGTTCTAAACTTTTCCTTAGGTGTTCTAAATTAAATCAAATGTTCAAATTTAGTACTCACATGTTCCAAACCATAAATTAGTTAAGTTTAATATCATAAATTTTAAATAACTTGTTCCAAAATTTTAACTTATATGTTCTAAATTTTAAAATGTGTGTTCTAAGATTTTTAATTATATGTTCCAAATTTTAAAGCGTATGTTCTATTTTTTTATTCGTATGTTCTAAATTTTTTACTCACACTTTCTATATTTTATATCAGTTTGTTCTAAATTTTTATTCACATGTTCATAATCTTAAATCAGATGTTCTAAATTTTATTCATATGTTTAAAATTTCATAAAGTAGATTTTATAAATTTTTAATCACTTGTTCTAATTCTTAAATCAAATGTTCTAAACATATTACTCACATAGATGTTCTAAATTATTAATCAGATGTTCTAAGTTTTAATTTCAGAAACATATTCTAAATTTTTACTCGTATGTTCTAAACTTTTACTCACATGTTCTAAATTTAAAATTAGCTGTTCTCATATAAGTATGAATTCTCACATATGAACCTATTCTCACCGGATCCCTATATATATATATATATATATATATATATATCTAATTAAGATCATGTGAGAAACAAGGTGAATAATAGGAATTAGGAACTAATCTCTTGATCGCACTCTATCTAATAGCTCACATTGCACCCGCTCTCATTAATGACATTATCGGAATTTTGTTGTTTTCAATATTTTTTCCTTTTTTTTTTTACTTTTAAGGCAATTTCATTTACTTTAATACTTATTTCATTTACTTTTATTACATTTTCATTTACTTTTGAGAAAAGAAACTGGAAACTACCCTATCAAGTTAAAATATTACAAAAACTCCATCAATGACACGGAAAGCATGTGAGTCGTCCAATTAACATGATCTAAGGGCCTATATATATATATCCCGTCGATGACCTGAGCAAGGCAGAACACGTAAACTGCCCTTGGGGGGGGGGGCTCAAGGAACCCCCCTCCGATGATTAATTGATCGCGGGTTAAATAGGTCGTTAAACTACTACCCTAATCAGATTAATCATTTATATTCCTAAACTACCCTAATACAAGTATAGGGGCATGTAAAGGGTCGAACCACTAAGGAAGCTCATTCATTCAACATCAATTTTCATTAATGCAAGAGTAAAGAGGGGAAAGTTTTTGTTGGTTTTTTGAATAAAGAGCACTAAACTACAAATAAGCAAAGATAATGATGATTAAAAACAAGAGAAAATGACGCTAGGGATACGGGGGTGTCAAATATGTTTAGAAAGAGGGGAACAATAATGGTTATCATGATGAATGACGAGGGGAAAAACTAGGTCGTTATCCAATCTTCCCTCGGTCAAACTAAATTTATAAACACTTAACAAACCTAAATACGAGTATAAAGGCAAGTCAAGGGTCGAACCCAAAGGAACGGTAATGTTCAAGCACTTTCAATTGCGCCTAAGCTAGGTCAAAGACGAAGGTAAGAGAGAATACTAACAACTAACAAAGCAAGTAACCAAGGTAACTAAACACTAGGAACGGGGATCAACAAGTAATCATGTCCAAACAACTTGGGAAGAGCATGCCAATAAAAGGCTGTGAAGACTAATGATAAGAGCAATCAATTGGAATCAAAGAGCTATCTCCTAATTGTTAAGCTAGGGTTCACTATGAATAACAAACTAAGAGAATCACAATCAAAACCAATCGATAATTGCAATTCCTAAATCAATTGTTCGTGTCATTAGCAATTACAATGCAATCTAGCATAATTCTCAAGGCCTAATTGAATTACACACATGCAAACCTTCACTAATCACTTTAATCTCAACAATCAATCAACACAATTCCCAAACTAATCACAATTAATCAATCATACAAGTTTCACCTAATTCCTAGCCAACAACTACTCAAATATCATAATCTATCAACAATAAACTAAAGAAATCATGAATTCACAAAATATGGAGAACAACTACACTAACCAAGCATCAAACATCAACATCAATTCAAACAAACATGAAATTGAATAAAGCAATAAAGAGGAGAGAGAGAGTGATAAAGCTTCATTGATTGATGATGGAGATCTTCAATACAACTGTCATCTTGAATCTTCAACCTCTCAAATAACCATTGAAATTCCTCAATTTCTCTCTCTTAAATATACTCCTAAAAATAAACCTAGA